ACCCCCCCCAGCCGAAACAGTCCCTGCTGGAATGGTTCCCCTCTGTGCCTCTTCCATTAAAATGTACAAGAGCCGCAGATGTCTCTTGTACATTTCAAAGGGAGAGGAAAAGCAGTCAGGACCAGAGCGGGACCATTTCGTGCCCTGCTCGCATCATCTCCCTGCTGCCCTCTGCCTCCCCCACAGCAGCTCATGCTCCCATCCCGTGTTGCCTCTCTCTGATAGAGGCAGCAAGCGGGGGCAGGGGAGGGGGAGTGACTAGTCCTCTTGTCGCTTACATCCCTAGTTCCGGGCAATACAAGTCTCCATTAGTGTCTCTTTAAAACCAGGAGCTAAATGATTCTCTATCTCAGGCCAGGTCTATGCTAGACGCGGAAGGTCGGCTTAAGGTACGCAACTCCAGCTACGTAAATAGTTGGAGGGCCCCCATCAGCAGTCAGTACTGCTCCTGTGAGGAATAAGGGAAGCTGACCCTCTGTGTGACAGTGGGGAAACGTGAATGAAGGTATATCGACTCCAGCTCTGTAATCAATGTAGCTGGAGTTGCGTATCTTGATTTGACCTTCCCCTTTAGCGTAGACGTGGCCTTAAAAAAAAAAAGTATCTTCGTTTCTATGATGCAGTGCACCTTATCATGAGACAAACACTTCCTGCAAGCCAACCCCATGGTAAATCAAAACACCGGTAAAGAGATCACGAACACCGTCAGACAAAATTAATAGCACTGAGTAGTAACAGAGGGGAGGAAGAAGTCAGTGTGGTAAAACTAAAATGCTGCAAAATTTATTAAACAACTCAAAATCCAAGAACAGGAAGTCAAAAGGAAAGAGAGCCCAAAACAAACATGACAGACAGGAAAAGACAGAAGGTGAAATTCAGGGAAAGACAAGGTTATAAGTTGAAGAGTCAACTGCAGGCCTGGCACAGCATGCTTGATACTAGAAAAAACAGAGTGAAGAAATGCTTGAAAAAAAGGTTGAAGTGGGATCAGAAGGGATTTCTCATACAGCATAACTCCTAGCCTAGGCTAGTTAGAGGTTTCCGTGAAAGTGCTGAATGGTTAGCCAAGGAAAAGGTGTATTGTGACGGCACAATAAACACACAGGAGAATAGTGTTGAATACAACATATTAAATGTCCATTCCCAAATGATTTTAATTGAAATTTTGGCTTGTCTCATAGACTCATATATGTCGTCATATATAAGCTCGATATCATGAAAAAACCCACCGTTTTAAATCAGTGGAAAAATTCTGCTCTCGGTTATATCAGGGTCAATTCTTTTAACTCCAAAGGTACCACTGAGGTTACTCCCGGTTGACCCAGAAGCTAGATTCTCTTTGCGTGGGACGGAAGAGGCCTTTAGGCTTGTGATAGGTCGGTGGGTGTGTCCCGTGGTGTCCGCCGCGCACGAGATGTAAATGGACACTGTGATTTGTGTGTGTTTATGGCGGGAGTGTGGCACTGACAGTCCACAATCACTACATGTGTGGAGCACAGTGCTGTGCAAGCACCAGAGGACAAGGCCTAAGAGACTGATTTGAAGTGGTGGAAAGGGGCGTTGGGGTACATGAGACCCAGACCCTAATTAAAAGTGGAGGACCTCAAATATTGCCACAGGGCTTACCCAAGCAGGTCTGATGGCTGGGAGCTACTCCTTTAGTGAAAAGATTCTTGCCTAGTGAACTAATTTCCTTTCTTATCTGGGCCTCTTCACCACGATTTCTAGCAAATAATCCACCGTATATTACTGCCGTAATAGGATTTCTCCTACTGCAGCACTGGACTTCTACAACCGAGTGCCCGACTTCTCAAGGCACTTAGCTGCAAACAAGGGTTAGCCCCCCCAACTACCTTTACAAGTCTGACCTTTGCAGAATATTTTGTTTGTCATTTTTGTCTTCCCATTTATAATGGCGAGCACTCCAGAAACTATTTCTGAGCGAATTCCATTTAAATCTGCAATTTTATTCGTCATCTAAATTAAACCTCTTTGCAAATAATGGGATAAAACACCCCTCTTTACTTGCCTAGCTCCTATTTTTGTTAGGAATTGTAGGAATTTCCAAATGAGAATGAATGACTTCAAATTTAGCTTTGTTTTAATCATTCTGCTCGTTCAAGAGACGTTTCACCTCCCGCCGAATGTTAGGCACACAAGCAAGAACAACTCCGATGAATGTGGGTAAGATCAGACTTATATTTGCTTATGAAATGATGCTTATATTTACCGCACCATATTGAAAATGATGCTTATTGCCAGCGTTTTGCCCGTGCACAGTTTGGATTTATTAAGGGATAGATTGAGCCCATTTTGTAGACCTGAGTATTTGAAATGAGGCTTGTAAACTCTTATTCATCTACATAGCTACTGCAGGCAATTAGGTGCTGGCTTAGGCACCTAAATATTGATTTAGTCACTCAAGTTTACTTTGAAAATGGACTCAATATTGTTTATTTTGTTGTAGCATTTACCTGGCAATATTATCTTCTTGTCTTTTTTTTTTTTTTTTAAATATAGCCCATTAGCGTCTGCTTAATTAATTCAGTGGGCTTTTCTTAAACCAAAAGATCATAACTAATGCCAATGTGTCAAGTGTTCAAAGCCATCTGGCAGAAAAGTCTAGCCGGACAACTTCAAGGCTAATGTATATAAAAACGTGGAGATTTAAAGTAGCCTGTTATTTAACATTCTAGTGAGTTAATCCCCAACTAGAAAGTTGACAAAGTTTATTGTTATAGCTGTATGATCCCTTCTAAAGCATAAAGAAATTGGTTAGAAATTGAAGGAGGGGGGGGGAAAGGTTTTAATCTCTCAGGCTCTAAAATCTGCAGGCTAAAAGGAATGATTGGTCCATACCCATAAATTCAATCCCAAGATGCTCTGCCAATGCAGAAAGTTGACAAAAAAAGAAAGAAAAGGGAAAAAGTTTCAGAAAAGAGCAATACACTGTACTCAAAAACAAATTACACACGAATATTACGGCTGCTCTGTGTCGGCACACGGAAACAGGACAAGCAGCGTGAGGTTAAGGGGGCAGTGCTCAGCGTCTTTAAGCGCACGCGTCCGTAATGGTGGCATTCAAGGCGTGACACACCAAAATGGGAATTTGGCATTGGCATGGGCACAATGCGGTGAATGTAGCAGTTAACCCTTAAAGATCTGACTGAGAGGTAAGGGGAGTGTGGCGAGGCTTGAAATAGATTATAATTGTCAGCTGAGAAAAATAAATCATCTATGGAGACCTTCCAATGAGCGGAATTACCTACCCCTGCTGGAGAGGGGGTTTAGGAAGCGCTAAAATCCAGTTTCTGAAAATCATAGAACACTAGGACTGGAAGGGACCTCGAGAGGGCATCAGCTCCAGTCCCCTGCACTCATGGCAGGACCAAGAAGCATCTAGATTATCCCTGAGAGATGTCTATCCAACCTGATTCTGGTGGGACACGCAGCGTCATCCTAGCATTACTATTCTGTTTGATGGGAATCTGCAGCAAAACTGGCCCTCGTCAGCTTCTCAGATGACTTGAATTAGCAGAGCGCCACCGATTGTTCCACACCCATTTCCACCAGCTGATAATCTGACTGCTCCAGCAAAACCCTCCCACGGTGGCCTGCCGTGCGTGCGAAGGAAACACCCAATTTTGCAGGAGGATGTCTACGAGGAGGAGCGCTGTCCCTGATAAAAATCAATGGTCTAATTTGGCATCTCATAACCAGCCTCTGTAGGGAATGCAGATTGCCCCCGGCTGCATTTTTGGGACAGAGGAGATTGTTTTCCTCCAGGCAGAGCCTCTTCTCTTTGTAGAAGTAAAAAAAGGCCAGATAAAATCCTAGCTCCGTTGGCATCAATGGCAAAATTCCAAGATTTCACTCCTCTGCCCTTCAGCTAACGGGGTTACATAATAAAATTCTCCTCCATCCAAATCCAACAAAATATAGGCTTCTCTTCTCATTGGGTGACTCTTAAACCAGATTGGCTCTCACTTATTACGTTTTTATTATGAAGATCGGAACGGAACCCTATTTTTTTCAAAGGAAGTAGGCATTCAATTAGCTTACACATGTTGGCGAGATATGATGCACAAGCCTTCCCTTGCCAATCAGTAACACTTTAAGGGTTAACTAAATTGGACTCCAGCCAGATTTTTTTCTTGGGAGCCAGTACGACATGCCTACATGAACACTGCTAACGATACCCACGTTAGTTGCACAGAAAGCTTGGTTAAATCTTCAGTCAAATTAGTGACATGCCCATGCATACATATTACTTCATTCATGTGGTTTTAGAGGTAAGATTAACAGCCTGACTGTAATTTAATTTCATCAGAAGTTATTCGTCTCATACAGCTTCTTTTTCACACAAGTCAGTGGAAATTGGTACTTAAAAAGAGAATATACTCTGGCTGGAAGCCCAAAAAAGAAAACATGCTGAGGAAACATGCTGTGCTCCTCCTGACCCTAGACAGCGTACGACTCTAATTTATCTTTGCTATTCAGAGCGCCAGTCTCTTATTTTGATTAAAAGAAAGCAGAGAAATCCCAACACTTTTCATTTTATAAAGCACTTCTTATGTTGTGTCTGTTCCCATTTAATGGTGTTGTCTCACAGTCATTATATGCAATATGTTTTCTATCGAACGCCTCTCCCCGTGCTTTGAAAACAAATACAACGATTATTTTAAACAGTTCTGTTTCATTATAGATGTAATTTCATTTTGGGCAAACTTTACACCATATAGTTTAAGGGTGAAATTTTTAAAAGTGACGTAGGAGGCTAAGATCCATTTTCAAAAGTGGATTACGGCCAGATTATTATAGGTATTGAAAGGTACGTCTACACAGCAGGGCTAAAGTAGAATTAAGCTACGCAACTTCAGCTATATCAATTACGTAGCTGAAGTCAAAATAGCTTAATTCAGCTTTTGGCATTGTCTACGCAGCAGGAAGTCGAAGGAAGAATATTCTTCCTTCGACATCCCTTACTCCTCGTGAAATGAGGGTTACAGGAGTCGGCGTAAGGAGCTTGACATTTTTCAAAATAAAGGCTTGTAGTGTAGACATGTACTATGTTATTTCAGAATAACGTCAGTAATGCTGTTGTGTAGACATACCCAAAATGACTGGCTCCCATGGAGGTAGATGCTTAAACACCTTTAAAAATCTGAGCCATAGGTAATTAATTACCTTGGTCCCTTGAATCTCAATGGGACAGTCTCCTAAATGGTTTTTGAAAACTGAATTTATGTTCTTAAGACGTTTTAAAAAATGTTCAAGTCTGCTTTAAATTTGAGAAGACAGTAAATGTTTATTTTTGAGTGATCCTTCCCATTATAGAAATATCATATAGTTTTATACTCTCCGGAGCATTGGTTAGGCAATTTATATTGAAAAAAATGCAGCCTTTGATGTTAATCTTGAGATGAGATGAAAGAGAAAACTTCCAAATGTGCCTAAACCACTTAGCAACCTGAGTTCCATGAAATGCCAGTAGGACATAGGCACCTAAGGAACCTGCTTTTGAAAAATTTACCTGAAAACTTCTAATGCAGCTGTGGCCAGGGGTCTAGTTTGAAAATGTGTAAGCTCTTAGAGAGACTCTGCCCATTGTAAATTTCAAAACCTAAAATACAGTTTATATGTAAAAACTGAAAAGCGAAGGAATTACGGGGCAGCAATCAATTTCAGTGAAAGCCGGAGCTGTCATTATCGTGTGGCAGAAGTTAATCAAACCTTGCCTATCATTCCCTGTAATTTATTGGCCAGACAATTCTCAAGGTTACACGACAGAAGATTCTCATAAGTTTCATGGTAAATTATTCAACTATGAAAGATTATTCAACCACGGGAAAAAAAATCACTGGGGTTGGTAAGGTTAAAACTGACCAAGTTTAACAAGTCACGTGTACTGCAAGGTCTTGCCTTCAGGAATTCAGGTTTCTTCCCCACGTTTAGTCCCGTCCGCTCCTCGAATGCATTTTATGTGAGGGTGGGCGTGTGTATGTGTGTGCATATATTTTTATTTTAATAAAATAGACTCCCCAGGCAGGTATAGCATACAAACTACTGAGAGACTCTCTGTTAAAATGGCAGCCAGGCTTTTAACTATACCGTTAAATATCCCACTCTTTTAAGCTGAATACAAATGACATTTGGAGCTATGTCTAGATTGGCATGATTTTCCGCAAATGCTTTTAACGGAAAAGTTTTCCGTTAAAAGCATTTGTGGAAAAGAGTGTCTAGATTGGCACGGATGCTTTTCCGCAAAAGCACTCTTTGTGGAAAAGCGTCCGTGGCCAATCTAGATGCGCTTTTGCGCAAAAAAGCCCGGATCGCCATTTTCGCGATCGGGGCTTTTTTGCGCAAAACAAATCTGAGCTGTCTACACTGGCCCTTTTGCGCAAAAGCTTTTGCGCAAAAGGACTTTTGCCCGAACGGGAGCAGCATAGTATTTCCGCAAGAAGCACCGATTTCTTACATGAGATCGTCAGTGTTCTTGTGGAAATTCAAGTGGCCAGTGTAGACAGCTGGCAAGTTTTTCCGGAAAAACTTGCCAGTCTAGACGCAGCCTAGGAGTTTAATAGCTAATCTTAAACTCCTAGGCTGCGTCTAGACTGGCAAGTTTTTCCGGAAAAACTTGCCAGTCTAGACGCAGCCTAGGAGTTTAATAGCTAATCCATAGGCTTTTGTATGGAGCCACCGTCAAACCATCTGTTTCAAAGCTTCTCTTTAAATCAATGAGGCATTCTGCTTGAAATCGTATGGCACACTCTAGCTCTTATACTTTTCTTTTTTTCTATTGGCCCTGGCTTTGTTTAGCATCTGATTTGCTTCATGAGCTTGCCTGGCTAAACTAAATTAAATCAATTGCTTAGTATGTGAGGTACAGCACAAGTCCTTGTCTTTCAGCCTCAGCTATAATGTTAGACCAATCCTTCAGCCTGGGCGAGGGTCTCTTTTTAATTGTATGGCCTGCCCGGTACTTGGTGGTAAAACAGAAATGAAAGAAATGCTTCTTTATTGATTTTTCTGGTTAAACAGTAATGTAGTCCCCCGGATGCTTTCCAGAAGTCTCCTTTTAACATGGGCACTTTATGCTTCAGATCTATTGTATGTAGCAAGTGCTAGAATAAAATAGAATAGGCTGCATTTTCAAAGTAGCCCACGGTAGGTGGATGGGTGCTCCGTACCCACTGAATTTCAATGGGATTGTCAAAAATACCTAAGCAATTTAAAGACTGGCATCTCACTGACTTCTAATAGGCTTGTGCTCCTTACTTCCTGGGAGTATGTCTGCACAGCAACCCCCCCCCTCCCGCGCCCCATACACAACAGTGTGTCTCAGAGTCTGGCGAATTGACTGGCACTCAAGTTGCGGGGCTAAAATTGTAGTGTAGATGTTTGGGTGCCAAGACCTTTCTCCGTTGCCAGATTTCAGAATTTCAGCCTGACTGAGAAGTCAACATTGCTATTTTCAGCTCTGGAAATATTTCTTCACACAACTCACAGTCAACCTGTGGAACTCCTAGCCAGGGGATGTTGCAAAGATCAGGACTTTAACAGGGCTGAAAAAATGAACAAGTTAAATTCATACTAGCCAGGGGAACCAATGGCTATTAGCCAGGATGGGCAGGAATGGTGTCCCCAGCCTCTGTTTGTCAGAGGCTGGGAATGGGTGACAAAGGAGGGATCTCTAAGTGATTATCTGTTCTGTTCACTCCCTCTGGGGCACCTGGCACTGGGCACTGTTGGCAGACAGGCTACTGGGCTGGATGGACCTTTGGTCTGGCCCAATGTGGCCATTCTGGTGTTCTTATGAGTGCAAGCTCTACTAGGGCAAGTCAGTTGACCTGGCTCTGAGACCTGTCTTCTTTTTTTGGCACTATAGATGTACTGTATCCATAGGTGCCTAATCCCCCTAGGCAGTTTGGAGGATCTGGATCCTAGGTGTTTTGAAAACCATGGTCAGGATACCTACCACCCAAAGACTTGTTTAACAATCCCAAGTGCCATAAGAAAGAAATTTAAAACATGAGCAAACCCCTAAATATGTATTTGTTCTGGGTGGAAAAAAAGCACTCATGGTTCATGTCTGAGTCTCCATTTGAATTTATTTGGGAAAAGCATAACTTAGCCTCTGCGCGAGATTTTGAAAAAGAAATCTTCTTCTAACACCTGTTAAAAGCACAGAACATTTGTTTTTTTTTTCAAAATAATAAATTCATATTCATCATTACAAGTCTAATACGCAGGTAACAAAAGCACTGTGCAGCATCGGAAGGTATTTTAGCTTTTTGGCCTATGCAAGTCAGAGGCATTTAAAAACTAACACTCCTAAAAAACCTTTTAAAACTCAGGATAAAATAAATTCTAGAATGCTGCGCAGTCTCATTTCCTGCTATTGCCAGTGTAACTCCCATGAGAGATAATATGAATTATGTATGCACATTCTTTGTTCACTGATGTAAGAGAAGACCTATGTTTCTATTAGGGCTCCAAAATGTCCAGCGTGTGCTAACAGCTTCTTAGCCTAGGTACTAATGGAAAGCTAAACTGAGCGTTCATGCAGTCTGAAATCTTTCAATGCTAGTGAGCGATCCATCAAAAATAGCCCAGCTAGAATTGCTTTTACATCATAGTGTAGGGGCATGCCAGCAAAAATTAATTATGAATAGTGAATGTGCATTCAAATTGTAAACCCCGGGCAATTTCCCTCTGTGTTACATCTGACTTTGTTACATCAGAAGGCACCAAATAAGGCACCACGCATGCAATGTACTTTACTCTTTTTCACCATTAAATAATAATGGTAAGAGTTAGCAATATCCTCCACAAGGAAGTTTATGAAACTAAGGCCTCTCAGACCCCGATCCTACAGGCTGCTCTCTCTCTCTCTCTTTCTATGTGTGTGTGTGTGTAGCACTCCAACAGAACCTACACGGCACACTTGGTTTTTTTGCACCTGTCCCCCATCAGTAAGAAATGTCAAGCAGCATCTTTTATATCCCCTCCCTCCTTCTCTTTATGTAATTTTCTTCCTACTGAAATGTAAAATTTTTGGATAATAAAGGGGGAAAAAAAGCCCTCATTCCTATTTGAGTGTGTTCATTTGAGACACAGGGAGTACATAAATTGTCTTAGGGCATGTCTGTACTGGGAAATTATTTTGAAATAGCTAAATTTGAAATAATAACTCCCGCAATAACAAAATCGAAATAGCACGTCCCCGCTACGGGGGATCCTCAAAATGAGCCTGAGGCAGGCTCTGTTCATGTGGACATGCTACCCCGACTTAGGGGAGTAGTGATTTTGAAATAGCAGCACCAGAGCGGCCACACTGCCGCTATTTCGAAATCACTCTTTTGAAATAAGCATCATTCCCCAAGGAAAGCAGGAGTTCGGATTCTGAAATAACCAGCCTGTTGTTTCAAAATAACGGGCTTAGTAGTGTGCACGCGCCGCGTGGCATTTTGAAATAAGGGGGTTTATTTCGAAATAACTACTTAGTGTAGACCAGGGCTTTGACTTTTATTTTCCAGGGTAACTTATGTCTATCCCTTTATTTGGAAGGTGACTCTCTTCATAAAGATTTTACAAACTGATTGCTGTTTTAGTGCTGGGAGTTTATTTCTTTTAGCAAATACAAAATCAGACTTTTAAATAGAGTTTGGCACTTCTTGGCAGCGATCGTGCTGTAAGGCGTCACTCACTCAGTTTCAGAACACTCCCGAGTCTCCAAAGCCCCACACCTCAACACCAGTCCACCCCACCGAGTTCTGCTATTGTTTTTGTTATCATTTTCATGCAACAGGCAGAGGCAATCAATATTAGGCCTCAGGCAATACATCCAGTTACAGGTAAAAAAAAATCTGCGGAAAGATGCAGCGACAAGAAAGCAGCACTGACTGAGCATGCTCCTACTGAAGCAGAGGCGGAAAGGAAGTGGACGTACTGTAGAAGCTGGCCATTACGTAGTTTTGGCAGCGATCACCAGTAAATTCATTTGGGCACCTGAGAGGAAAAACAAAAAAAATGGTAGAGAAAACAGAGAAAAGAGAAGAGGTGAATATACACTAAGAAAGAAGCTTCTCCAGCGTGAACTGATTGGACTTGGTGAGTTCACCTTCAGAAACGGAAGCTTGGTTTATTTCAGGGATGCGATCAATTCACCAGTCCCAATTTCCAGATCGCTTTGGCAAAATGCAGTTTGCAAGGCAGCTAGAAATGAAATCTGTACAACAGTCATCTCAATCTACATCTTCCGTTAGGGTAACAATTTGCAGCATTTCACCAACCACACATGTTGGCTAAGTGAAACAAACAAACAAAACCATTCTCTTGAGAATGAAAAGGCACCAGTTTAAAAAAATAATCAGACAAATTGGTCCAATTTTTGATACTGAGAATGCCATGGTGTACAGATTAAAGATTAAGAGAATCAAGCTACAATCAGAATCAAAGGATGCCAATTCCAGCTGAACTGTGAAAACACCAAGTAGCAGTGATTTTTGTTGCTGTAGTTGGGGAGAAAGCAAAGTTCAGATTATTTTAACATACTTTCTTGGTTTTGGATTTTCATGGGCACAGTGTCAGTACATCTTGCTCCAGTGAATCCAGGTTGGCACCTAAAGGGCAAAAATGTGATAAGCAATAGAACACCAAGACCACTCGACTATCAGACCGATATTTGCTTTCCTATGGAACACGCCCAGAGACTCTTTAATATCAGTAGGGATACGGGAGGCAGAAGCTAATGAAAAAGTATCAGGAAAGAAATACATGTCCTTGGAGAATTATCATTGTGTGAATTTAAAAAAAAAAGTTATTTCAGAAAATCTGCATCGTTTTTTTTTAAAAAGTCAGCTGTTGTAAAAATGGGTCCGAGAGCCAACGCGAGGTCTTTCAGTTAACGATATGGTGTTGGCCGATAACTGACATCCTTCAGTTCAAAAACAAACGTACACTGCAGAACCTAGGGAAATGCTATGGACTCTGTTTTTTCTTTATCAGCACGTTCCACCTTCAAGTTCATGATTGGATTTAATTTTTTTTAAAACAAAGCTTTGTTCTGGGCAGCAATTATGGCAAAAGGTATCAGAGAAATGGAAAAGCGGCAGCAGCGGAGTAGAAATAAGTTGCCTCCTTTCATCTCTCCGGGCACACGGTGCACATATGGTCATCCTCGGAAAACCACAATATGAGTTCCACTTTGGTTGTAATGAGGCTCGTCTCTTTCTCATGTTGTCCATGACCTCTGCCAGCTTTTCCTTCTTCCTCATTCTCCTTGGCCCCAATGCAGCTTTGGACATGGTGTGGGACATCATTCTGTGTGGTCACTGTAGCTACACAGGTTTCTCTGGTTTCCTCAGAACATGATTCTGACAGTCCTCCTATGGGTTAAATTCTTGGCCATCTGCTTTCCTCCAACCTACCTACCCCACCTCAGTGCTCTGTTAATTTATCTACCTTTTACCTTCACGCTAAATCAAGTTTCACAGGAGCTCCCCGCTATTTTCTGTGGCTGCGTTCCTGGCACCACTGTGAATGGCGAAATTTGTGAATACTAGGAACTGCGGCTCTCGGCTCCCCCATGGTGAGTTCCTTGCAGCTCCCGAACTCACCGCAGCTGCTGGGAGCTGTGGGGAACTCACCGTGGGGGCCAGGGTGAATTCTCCACGGCTCTTGACCCCCGCAACTCCACCCTCTCTCTAGGCTGGGAATATGGGGAACTGCAAATAGTGATTCTGAGATTTCATGAATTGTGAAGGTTCCCTGTATTGACACATTTAAAAGGTTCTATTTATATCAGTTTAGTTGTCTTCTGTTTGTTTCTCAAGCACTCCATCGACTTGCTCCAGCCTGTTTCTTTTAGCCCAGGTCTACATTACAGGCGAAGGTCAAATTAAGATGCACAACTTCAGCTACGTTAACTATGTTGCTGGAGTTGAGGTACCTTAATTCAAGTTTCCCCACCATCCTCACAACAGGTTGATGGGAGCAAATGCTCCTGTCGGCTTCCCTTACTCCTTTTGAGGAGCAGGAATACCGGCACAGAGGGGGGCGACGCCTTACTCCTTTTGAGGAGCAGGAATACTGGCACAGAGGCGGGCAACATCCGAGTACAATTTAATGGGTCTTTACTAGGCCTGCTAAATGGAACTCCGGACGATCGATCGCGGCAGTATCAATCATCTGCATAGTAAAAACAAGCTCTAGGATCTTGTCTCATAGTCTCTAATGCTGGCCTCCCATTTGTGCCTTCTTGCAATCTAACCACTCTTAAATTGAAGAACATTCTGATCCAGAGCTGCATTCATCCAAAACAGTCTTCCTGCACCTCTACAACCCACTGCAAGATCTGCCCTGGCCTAGCTTTTTAAAGTCCTCTCTCCCTCTGTGCAGCATTATCTCTAGCCTTAACTAACAATAAGGACATTAACACCCAACACTTATACAGCAGTTGTATTTGTTATCCTGGTAAAGTGTTTGGAATACCATACAAAACACACTATACAAGATAAACCGCACGGGATTTACTTTCTTTCAATGCTGGCACATTTTGGGTGTCTGAAGAGATTTCTGATAAACTGATTGTTGCAGGGATGTATCTGGGCCCGGATCCTAAGAAGGATCCCTTGGTAGTAGCATAGATGAACAAAAATAAAGAGCAAAATAATAAGGACAAATCTCTTGAAATGTCACAGAGGAAGGTTATGCCACTGGGCAGGGAAAGGGGTTAAATTTGGATATGTCTGAGCAAGCTAGAAGAAACAAAACAGGTATATAGTGGTGTTGTTTTTTTAATTCTTATTTTACACTTGGTTGATAGTGTTAAGTATAGGTTGAACCTCTCTAGTCCGGCGCCCTCAGGACCTGACTGGTGCCGAACTTGAGAATTTGCCAAACCTTGAGAAGTCAATATTGTCTAGGAGCATGACCAACACTTCCACTACTTCCTGGGCTCTTAGAAGACATGTAGGGGTAAATTAGAGCTAAATAACACAACACTGAGAGCCAGGACTGGTGGCAGTAAACAGACTTTATGGGACTGTGGGAAACTCAGCCACACCCATGATAAGTGGACATCTGGCTAACTCAAATCATGCCAGACCATGGATGCTGTTGGACCAGAGAGTGCCGGACCACAGAGGTTCAACCTGTCTTCATTCTCACAGTAGTAATGATGATACTTTGCTCTTCTCTAGTGCTTTTCATCACTCTGTCTGAGACATGGTGTTCATACCTTCTCTGGACGCCAATCTTCTCACTCAGGCCACCGGTCAAATGAAGTTTATGAGCATTTTGCTGCTTAAAAGGCTAAGGATCAGGCCTGCAGGCTCCTGGTTCTATTCCTGTTGTCAGCAGTAGGTGCAGCTGCCTTGAGGTTGGCAACAATTTACATGCTAGTGCAGATGGCACTAAATCCATTCCAGTCCGACTGGGGTTAAGCTTCCTGAAAACAGCATAGCCCTGTTTACACTGACACAAACATTTGTCAGCCCTGGTGCGGCTGCCACCCACTGCGGACAAGGGATGCAGACTCAGCCAGTGCGGACGGGGCAGGACGTGAATTCCCACCTCTGAGTATCTGCTCACGAGAAAAGCGTTTTATGGCTGACAAGCAGAATTCAGTGCGGATGACAATTCTGCCGGTCAGAATGTCTCCTCTGCATTTTACATGCATGAACAGGCAATGTCTGAAAATACCTTCTTATCCTGTCGTTTCTCCAACGCTGTCACTAGCCTTCTCCATCTTTGGGGGCTACCCACATTGCATTTTCAAATCTTTCCTTGCCTATAGAGCGGGCCACTTTATGCTCTTTGTTACACCCGTGTAAATCAGAATAAGGCCAATGAAGATTGCTGTGGGTTTACACTGGAGTAATTGAACAATTAATCTGGGTCGCTATCTTCTCTCTTTGCTAATTAGAGGCTACCAACATTATTTAGTAAAGAAATTAGATAGCTTAAATCATCAAGACCACAACTCTTTCTTTCATCAGATAAAAGAATGTCCAAAAAACGTCCTAATCCTGATGATTTCTGCGTTTTGTGGGTTTTAATTTTGTGAAAAGGCTAGTCTCTATGTAACTGCATTCAACTAGTAAAGATTCAGAACAAGTCCTTTCACTAAAAGCAAATATAAAGTACAGGTAAGTGGCATGGGGATGTTTTACCCTCATTTACGTGAATCACTATAAGAACTGTGCCTTTCATTGCACAGCTTAGTTTAGAGCTGTTAACACTTTGGCAGAAGGGGTGGTAGGGGAGAGGCTAACCCCAGCCCTGCCCCTCCCACTCAAGGCCCCGCCCCTTCTACCCAAGGCCCCGCCCTTTCTGGAAGTGCACCGCCAGGCCCCTCCAGCTGGTGGAGGAGCCTGGCAAATCTGTTGCCCCTCCCGCCTGCTCTTGACTTTCCCAGACTTGATAAACCTTTCCGTTAGCACTGTAGCTAGCTTCCCTTTTTCCCCCTCAATTAACTGTTTCCTGGATCCTCCCCATTAATTAATTCCTATGCTGCCCGTTCCATTTCCAAACAAGGATATGGACAATTGTAAAAACATGGAAATTCATTCTTTCCCAAGGTTAAGGAAAGAAAACATTGTTTTTAGCAGCCAAAGCTGTGGCATCAAACCACTCTTAGGGAATAACCCCAGCAAAGGCAAGACAAAGGATGTAGTGCAGACATCACCTGCTTTAATCGAGCTTGCACGCTATCAAAAGTGGCCAAGACTTAGCAGCACAGTGCCAGCCCAGGCAGTACCAGGCTGCCGGGGGCGGTAAGTATGTACTCGCATTGCTAACCCATGCCAAGGTCTGTATTTAGCCATACTGCCTATGTTGGAGGTAGTGAGAGTATGGCTATTCCCGCTGCAATCACATCTCCCATTGCTGTATAGGCATACCCTTAGGCGTACTGGAAGCAAATGGGGATGTCTACACTGGAATACAAGATCTGTGGCATGGATATGGATGGCTTGTGCTGTGGGGCTGTGTAGCTATTTGGACTCAGGGTGGATCCTGAGCTCTGGGATCTTTGCGCTTTGTGGACTCCAGCCCCCGTGAGCTCAAAGCAGATGGCTCTGGCCAGCCATGTGTGTCAGCTGCTGTGGAGACACATCCAATGAGGTGTAGCCTTCTAAGGTCTAGGTATGCAAAGGTATACAGGCACCTAGCTCCCACGCACCTAAATACCTCTTTGGACCTAGGCCCAAGCGCCTAAATCACTTTTCAAAACAGGACACAGACTCCTCTGTCATTTAGGCACTTCTAAAAGTTTTACCCAATGTCTCGGGAAAAAAACACCAAATCCTCCTTCCTCTCTTTTTTACACCGAGACTATTCTGTTTAATCCAGGATTGTAATTAAATTCTAGTACAGAGAAATGTATACAGCACGGTGCCATGGTACAGGTTACATTTCAGGCACAGACCCTTGTGGATAAATGCACATTTCAGAAGTGAATCCAGCTGACTAGCACCCAACTCTCAAACAGTCAGCTTGTTGAAAACGTATACCAGTATCAGCGAAAGCAAAACATGGCACAGTGTTCATTGTGACACCTTCAGGTTTTTTGGACCTCACTTTTGATCACAATGCTTCTAACATTAGCAATAGGAGGCCGATTCACCAGGCATTCGTGGGGGCGCTGGTGATTAGAGACCTTGCCTGGAACATTCCCTGATTATTGTGCAGCTGAGTCATGCTTTTTCATTAGCAATAAAAACAACTTAGAACAACGAGGCTCATGCTTTGAACATTTTGGTTTTGCACTCAACAGATGGAGCATATGGAAAATGTGAACTTGCTACAAAGGCAGAACATGAAGAGCAAGTCCCATCTTTCAAGTTTTCTGATGCCATGGACACGTTTTGGAAAAAGATTTGTTTTCACAAGAGATGGAAGCAATGTGTCCTTCCCAGATATTTGTTTTAATTCACACTTAAAAATAAACATCTGTGTCTTTAACCATGCAAGAAAATAATGCTTTTGTTGTTTCCTCAGGTTTGCAGTGTGTGCCCATTAAAAACAATTCAGATTCTCATGTCATGGATGGCAGAGACATTTGTCTTGTTTTGTTACAGTATAAACAGCTTCAGGGCTGGTAAATAACAAGAGACATAGCAGAAGCACTGCAAACTACATGTGAGCTTAGCTCTCCTTTAGAGCGAGACCCGTTTCCACAGCTTTAGTATAAATAAGAATCAAGCCCTGTGATTTTACATTGTAATGATGTCTCCTGGTATTTTTCGTGCTGCCCCAAAAATGCCCTGCATGGAAGCCTGGGAAGTTATTTTTCTTTTCTCTCAGATTATAGATTTAATGGTTATTTCTTGTCTACATGAAAAAAAATATTCATTTAAGAGGGCCTGGGACATTTAACATACAAGTTAAATGATAATATAGAGTGTCCCCACTATAAGTTGCCCTGGTATACATCCGTTCCACACTAAAGTTGTTGACACTTGTAGGAACTGGTGTTAAGTGTTGCTCTTAAGTCATGCAAAAAATTTGTTTTGCACAAATGGAAGTCAGCCACAGTGAAAAAAATCCCTTGCTTTAAGTTGTTGGTCAATATCGTTTTTGGAATGTATCTTGGCCTTATAGTAAGGACAGTCTGAAATAAAGTGTAAACAGGGTCAGACCTGGCCGTCAAAAACCAAAAAAGTCATGAGATACAGTGAAAAAGAGATGACACGGAAAACAATAGTGAAATACCAGTGAATAGTCAAAACGTGACGCATACAGCACAGCAAACATGTCATGTGCACGGCCATTGGGCTGCTTGGAGCATGAAGTGAAGACGGGGAAGCCCAGGAGCTGGTTTCCGGTAGGTCCACTTGGGTGCAATCTCAAAATTGGATTGTCTTGCACTGCGCAGTGATAACTGTATACTTTCAGCACGGTTGTCAAAAAGCCAAAGCTGGTTTTTGGGCATTAACGAAAATGGCAATGAACAGCCATAGAAGAGCCATGATTCCAACATCAGAGGGATTTGTGAGAAAAACACACCCAAATCTGGCTAATTGCAGGTAAGAGCCATAGGGGAGTGCTGCCAGCATTTCCTGGAAGCAATTTCAGTCCCTTCCTTTCCACGTGAGAACCAGGTCTCTCTCCACCCTTTTACATGATGTTGCAGAGAAGCCCTTTTTGCTATTACTGGGTTTTTGTTTTTAGCCTTTATATGGCTGAAAATTCATGTGATTCCACCAGATTGTTCATCTTACTGAGTAGCTTCTGCTGCCTCTCCCAAAAATGCCAATATTCTCAGAGAGAACAATTCCCTTAAGATTCAGTTCGGCACAATGCCATCTGCCCCGTGTCCCCTCAAGTCGGGGAGAGTTTAGAGCTCCATGGTACCCGGTTCTGGTCTGTTATAAGAACCACTAAAGCTCCAAAGGTATCTTTTGTACAATGGTGCATCCACTGTATTTATACTGGTTCTTTGGCAGAAGACTGGACCGTTGTGTCCGCATGTGGGCTAGAATTAGGGTTTGATTGTGATAAGAATACGAGGCCTCAATTTGCTCAGGTACACTCAAAGTTAAGCTTGTGCTGGAGTGAATTCCTGAATACGGCTCAACGTCAGCACATCCTTAAGTGCTTCCCCGAATCAGGGCCATCCATTTCAACAGACGCCCCCTGGGGAGTTCGGATGGCAATTTACTGATTACAAAACGGTGGAAAACGGTGATTTGTAATTTACTGATTACAAAACGGTGCAGTTAACACCATAAAAACTCCTGAGTTTCGTTTGACCTCATTAGGCACAGTGACTTTGTAGTCATCTAACTCGAAACAAAGCATCTTGTGGTGGCACTACATTTTCCAGGCACTTTCACTGATCTTTAATAAGTCATTTATTTTACTACAATGTGTTAATAAAAACTAACGGCTGCATGTGCTCTGTGGTATACATGCGGCTTTCTGACACAAATTATTCCACTTGGTCTCTTTTCATTATCTGGGGCATATTTCACCAGTGACGCTTGTCTTAAAAGATCTAACAGCCTAGATGTCAAACAATAGTTATCTCAGAGTATCCAGAAGCCAGTTGGGCACGCAGCCCTATCTCTGTAATGAAACCATCTGGGGCATTTTAATAACTGTTGTGTGAGCTTTCTAAAGGCTTGGCTTCATTGCAACAGTGAGTACACTTGAGTTAGTCCACCAGTCTAGACTAGCCTCCCAAATGAGAGCAACCACCCAGCGAAACAACATTCTAGCTACTCAGAGTGATGGGAGTGGCAGCAGTCAATGAGTTGTTATAATTTGAGCTCTTGCATGCCTCCCCCGCCCCCCCCCGCATTATTAGGTCAAGGGTGTTGAGCGACTTCTCTCCTCTGGGCTGGAGCTAAGCCCACCAAGGGGGAAGAAGAATTGCCCAGAGTCTGTGGCTACAGCAGCAGCAACTGGAGCCCCGAGTCCTTTAAACTGCTGCCAGAGAGCCAGGCCATGCACTCTGGACAGCGCTAAGAGCTGAGTTGGCTCCGCCCCTTCCACCCTCAGCCCTGCCCCTTCTGGGAATGCAGAGCCGCCCTCTCTGTTTTGCCCAGGAATGGCTGTCGGCTCTGCTGGCTGGAGCTAGCGAGATGAAAGCTAGCGTGGGTATGTTTACATGAGCTGCTATCCCACTCCACGAGGGCAGTATCGAGAAACCCCAAGTGTCAGGAGCTCTCAGGCGTCAAAACCTTCCCTCATCCGTCCTCATTCCCCCCATCCCCTCAATGAGCACTACTTAACTGGAACTAGAGATTTTTGTATGGGAGTCGGGTTAGGGTCGAAACTCAAGATACCCCTCAAGTTAACGTTGCAACGAACACAAGCCCTGTTACACAGGCCTCATCTCAATAGCTAGATTCATACCAACACTACCACACAAAGCTGAAGAGGTGGTCTGATGCATCTATCAAGTATCTGCGGGGCCGTTGGTGGTAAAAAGAACTGTTCAGATACTGAAGAATTACTTGGAGAAAAAGTACATGAGAAACACAGTGGCTACACTGAAATAAACCAAAACATTTCTTACCTGCACAAATATCTGGGGGGGTTTGGAAGGTCTTTGACCATGTAACACTCTCCCCCATTGACACAGAAGGCTTTCTGCTTGATGTCACATTTTGTGAGGTGACTTGTCCCAGTAGTAGATGTAGAAGTGGCTGCAGGAGAGAAGAGAAAAAATACTATTCAGAATGGTTTGGTTCTTTCCTGACCAGGATTTGGATTTCAATACAATTTATGCACTTGCGTGGAAGAGATATGGGGCAGGGGAGAATTGGCGATTCTTAGGAGCTGTTTGCCTGTAGCCTCCTAGAATTAATCTGAGTCATGGAAAACAATAGTTTGCTTATACGGTATTGTGCTGATCAGAATAAAGAGCACAAAATGGCTTCCAGTCCTCCGACATGCTCCATACACACAAATGAGGAGAGTTTAAAATTCCATACTGTATCCAACTAGGCCTGCTAAATCAAACTCCGAAGGATCCACCGCGAAAGCTTCGATCCTCTGGCAAGTGGACACACGGCTTAAGAAGCTCAATATACAACAGTTTGTCACCCTAAATGGAGTTATGCACACAGCTCGCAGCACTGGATTAGTTCAATTAAGCAATAAAACAAGTGTATTTAACTACAAGGAGAGGTTTCAAGTGAGTACGAGTAGAAGGCGCTCATGTCAGAAATGGCGACGAGAAACCAGGCTGAATTCAAGAGGCAGTCCTTTACCAAAGGTACCCATCACACCGTGGAGAAAACTAACAGGTCGGAGCCAGCTGTTAAAAGCCATTTAGACTTTGGAAGCTGCTAGGCAGGCAGGATTTCTAAGGTTTCTCTTATTCATTAGTTTATATTTTACAATTTAGTTTGAGCGTTAAGTGATCTGAATCAGTCTACCTGGGCACAAAGCTTGCTCCTTTGTATAAACCTCAGTTCCTAATGTTGCTTTCCAGGTCCTCTATCTGTTTGCAACCACTTGTTACATCTTGCCTTACTGGGTCCTGATTGGTGCCCTGAGGGGCTCATGTGATGTCAACAATTGATAGTAATAAATCCTGATAATAATCCCATCTTTTCCCTGAGCGAGGCTCAGTTAAACAAAGACCACGTCTAGCTCCAGTAAACAGGCCATGCTTTAAAAGCAGGTTTTAATAGACTGTTTCACCAACGGTCCACAGTACATCATGGGCAAACCTAGTCTAGGCATGGCGGTGGTAGCCCAAATATAAAGTTATGTCTGCATTGCACAGCCTAACTCAGCAGAGCCCTCTCTTCAGCACACACCAGCAGGAGTTTTTCTGCTTATGTAGGAACATCGCTCCCCCCGATAATATTAGCTATCCTGACAGAAATGCTCACACCCTTGACTGCAATAGATATACTGGTATAAAAGCAATAAGTAGTCCTGTGGTACCATAAAAATGATAGATAGATAGATAGATAGATAGATAGATAGATAGATAGATAGATAGATAGATAGACTACTGCACGCTTTTTTTGACAGAGGCTTTTTTGACAGTATCTTTCAAAAAAGCCTCTGTCAAAAAAGAGCATCTAGACAACCAGAAGATTTTTTCAAAAAAGTGTCTCGCTTTTTTGAAAGAGTATAGACGCTCTCTTTCGAAAAAGCCCTGTTTTCATGCACTGGTGCCTTTTTTCGAAAGATGACTTTCGAAAAAAGGCGTATTCCTTGAAGAATGAGGTTTACTGCTGTCGACAAAACCGTCACATTCTGTCGATTTACTGTCGACAGAACGCAGCGGTAGTCTAAACGCAGGTATAGTTTTTGAAAAAAAAGGCCACTTTTTTCAAAAAACTCTGTACTGTAGACACACCCAGTGTCCTGAGCTTTTGTGGGCAAAACACACTTCATCAGATGAGCATGCATTGGAAGAAGTGGGTTTTACCCACGAAGGCTCATGATCCTATATATTTTTGTTAGTCTCTAAGTGTATGTCTACACTAGCCCCCTAGTTCGAACTAGGAAGGCAAATGTAGGCATTCGAAATTGCAAATGAAGCCCGGGATTTAAATATCCCAGGCTTTATTTTCATGTTCCTGTCTGGTCGCCATTTTGAAATTCCACTAGCCCGAAGTAACTGCCTGCAGCTACACGTGGCAGTGAAACGGTAATTCGAACTAAGTCCTTAGTTTGAATTAACTGTTACACCTCTTTCCAGGAGGAGTAACACTTAATTCGAACTAAGGACTTAGTTCGAATTACAATTTCAGTGCCGCGTGTAGCCGCGGGCAGTTCCTTCGGGCTAGTGGAATTTCAAAATGGCGACCGGACGGGAACATGCAAATAAAGCCTGGGATATTTAAATCCCGGGCTTTATTTGCAATTTCAAATGCCTACATTAGCCTCCTTAGTTCGAACTAGGAGGCTAGTGCAGACATACCCTAAGGGAGTGTCTACACTAGGAAATTATTTAGAAATAACTAAATTCGAAATAATAACTCCTGAAATAACTATTTCAAAATGAGTGCTATTCCCAGAGGAAAACAGGAGTACCGATTTTGAAATAATCAGCCCGTTATTTCGAAATAACAGGCTTTGTTGCGTGAACGCTTCCCTTATTATTTCGAAATAAGGGGGGTTACTTGGAAATAACTCCCGAGTGTAGACCAGGGCTAAGGTGCCACAGGACTACTCATTGTTTTTAAAGTTACAGACTAACATGGCCCCTGAGACTTTTTATATTGGTACAGGTTTTACATGTAGACCATGCCTACATTGAAGGTGGGTCTCAGTGCATACAACCATGATGAAGGGGCTGGAAGGTGTAACTTAACACTAGCTTAGACTCCCCTCTTAATTTAGTTCAACCTACATAGCTAAAGTGCATATTGCCTTTTAGTCCCTTTAAAACACTTCTTCCTGAAAGTACGGCCATTGTTCTGAAGATATCCTCTGGCTCAAAAACCTAAAGCATTCATTTTAAATGAAAAGCAAAATTGTCTGCCTGAACTCCTGCTGGCAAAGCTTATTACGATCACGAAGGCTAATGGAAAGTCTGAAATTGAATTATAAGAGAATGTTGTCGAGAACGTGACTGTAGCTATCTGGAACTGCACTGGTCATCCTGCTCGGCACTTTTTCTTTAAGCAGCAGCTCGATCAAAATTGTTCCTCGTGGAGTTTCAAAGTTACTGGTTGTGCCCTGCTGATGTAAAGTGACGGCTGCAGTTGTGCTGAACAAATCGCTAGCGATGGGAATACGTCGCCTTTCTGAGACTAACCCCAGAATAGAAGGGATTTACATAGCTTTGCCAGGAGTTTTTTCCCCCTCTCCTCTTCCTCTTGAGTTTGGCATTGTGTGTCCCATAAATCGCAACACATATTTTTTCCCCTGGTGTTACTGATAGATTCACACTGCAGTCTCAATCGGCCTCTGTCTTTGGTGACTTAGCTCTGGAGACAGCTTGTCTTTGATGCACCATTTCTGGTGGCCAAAGCAGTGTTCGCTCTATCCGCTGCATGCCTCTTTTGCAAATTAAATTTAAAAAGCACCAATGTCATGGTGTCAGATTTCTCTGAAACCCACATGGCGGAAGAACTGGCAAGTCTTGGAGCAGGTGGTCCTCGGACAGATTTCACTCAGTCCGTAACTAGCCCCCTTGTGCTTGCCTTCTACAACTCATAAAGTTCTCAGAGGGGACTTGAGGGATTGAGTTATTTTACAATGTATTGACAATGAGCGTATAGGAAAGACATACCACAGCAGCAGATACCATTTATTTTTTGTTACCTATTTATTTATCTGGCCAATTTTTACTCCTATTTTCTTAATGCACATTAAATATGGATGAGTGGCATGCAAATCATTTTACATTTCCACTTGCCCCTAATTTATCGACTTAAAAAGGATAAATCACAAATCATAAAATACTTTGTAAATGCCGGGCGTAAGCAGACACTTAAAAAACCCCGGATGCTCCATTTTCTTTGCTAAGCAACTGACCGTGGCATAAATGACACATAGCATTCTCACTAATGCAAATATCTGCACGGCAATGAAGGACAATGAAATTTTTTCCCCAAGAACTACTTGAGTGCAAACGGAAGACAAGAGAGGTATGCTAGATACTACCGTTCTCAGAATCATAGATGTTCTAGGCTCATTTAACAGCTATTCTCTACAATATTTTTCACACTCCATTCCAAAACCTCTGGGTAGCTCAATCTCTTAATTAAACCTCAGCACAATTTCACATCAATTAGTCATTGCAAAGTCATGGCAATTTTTTACTTACCTGGGAGATTGCTAACCTTTCTCTGTCTCGGAACAAGGAAACGCATGCTAGTTTGGATTCTTTTTCCAAAACAGAATTCTACAGTAAGTAATAAAGTTGCTACAGCTTTCGGACATACAGATCCTTTACAATGCCTGTGAATCAATCCACTACCACCAACAGAATTTAAGGCAGCTCTGTGTTCTCATCACTGGAGAACATCCGTGCTAGCAAAGCACAATAGATGCCAATGCCTATTTTAATCTAGTTTCTGCAGGCATCAGTATAATGTTGGAGGACATGCTCTCAGCCGCCCAAGGTGACAGGTAAGACGTCAATGCTCAAGTGAAGAGAAAATCAAGTGCCAGACTTGGTGCACAGAAAGGATCATCCTTCTGTCTGAAGGCAGCTTAGAGGCCATGAATAAGATTCGTGGCTGAATTGTAAGCAGAGAGCTTTGTCTCCTTTGGTGAAGGAGAGACAAGAGAAAAAGCTCACTATATCATAGGTTTCTGTGACTAAACACCACTGTCAACTGTGGCGTCGCTATGACTCACT